TAATCAGAAACTTTTGTCACTAAATACTCCAGTGTGTATCTCTAAGTAAGAGTATTGTCATAACCATAGCACAATTATGAAGTTCAAAAAGCTCAACACTTAAGTAGTACTATTATCTAATATATAATCCATATTCAAATGGCGAGTCACACTGAAAATATTCCTCTAAAGCATTTTTCCCCAACCCAGGATCATAAATTGCCTTTTTAATCCTCTAAATTTAGAACAATTCCCGTAGCCTTTCTTATTCTTTGGTGACACTGACATTTTTTAAGAATAAAGACCAATGGCTGGTGGAATGTTTCTCAATTTCATTTTTCTAATTATTTCTTTGTGATGAGATTCAGGACATGTATTTTTTGCCAAAGATACTACCTATGTCTGAGTCCACTCTCTCACATCAAAAGACACATCATATAATTTTATGCCATAGTTGGTGACAGTACCTTTGATCAGTTGGCTCAGATTTCTCAGATTTTTTTTAAAATTTTTTATGTATGCATATAGAACTGGGGTAGAAGCCAGAGGTGGGGGGAGGGGTGTGGTAAGAGGATGCACAGAGACAGAGTAGGGAGCAGAACAGGCAGATGTAATGAAATACCCTGCTGAAGGGTAGAGCCTGAGAAACAGGAGAGGTCTGCTGCACCATGTGGGTCACCAGAGAACAAGAATTGAACTTGTGTTGGCTGGGAATTGAACTCGTGTTGCAGAGGCTGCTGATAGCTTCACAGTGCTGGGCTTTAACTCGTTGAGCCACCAGGGAGGACCCAGAAATCTCAGATTTCTGCATTATACATACAGGCAGTTTCTACTCCTTTGTAATGAATAAGAAACCTAGGGATAACCTGACTGTTAATATCGTCTTCCCCAGCAAACTTTCACCCAACGATTTCACATCAATTGATAAAGCTATCTGAGCCAATTATTACGACAATGGTTACAGAACCATGATTTTTCTTTCTTTTCAATGTTAAACCGTGATGTTTCTAATTTCATCATTTCTTCAATGTGTATTAGTTGGCACGCCATTGTCAAAAAGCGACTTCACACTTTATTTAAAATATTAATGAATACGGATTTGTATCTATATATTTTAATTTCACTGTTTTAACCCATTGCTATCATGATCATTCACAATGTTCAACTTTCCCCACCTTTGGGAAATGGAGGTACCTAGAACCTGGCTCCTGCTTCCTTTGACATGTACTCATCATTCTCTGACACCCTTGCTCTCCGGTACAAGTCTGTCAAGGGCATTTTATACTTTTCCTGTCTCTACCATGGACCCAACCACTCTCCAGAGTCTGGCTGCTCCTCGTGGAGCATGGCACCTGGATACCAAGACCCGCAGTCAGGTGATACTCGAAATATTAAAACAAAGCGATACCTGTCTCCTGGGGTCGGCACACGGAAGGCGTGTGGTGCCATCCTAAATCTAGCAATGCCTGAGTGACTTTGGCCATGCCCTTCATTCCTTGGGGTTTGCTTCTTTGTCTGAAAAATATTGAATTAGAAAAGCATTACTGAACTTTTTCGGTGTCACCAACACCTCTGGGAATTGGATAAAAGCCATAGTCTCATCTCCCCAGAGACAAACTCATAAAATAAGCAACTATTTGCGTACGTTTCCGGGTGTCCGAGGCTCTGGAGACCACTTGAGGCGCCAATTCCTTTATTAAGTGATCTCTAGGGTCTTTTCAGCACCGACATTCTGTGAGTCTCCAAGCGACCGCCCTGCTGTCAGAAGGACTCCTCAGAGGGATTTATATAGAAGCGAGATGAGGAAAGGACACAAAGAAAGGCGCCTGTGAGCAATGCGTTGCTCAGCCATCGTTCTTCGCCAGTGCCAAATTTAGGACGCAGGGTAGTCATAGGTGAGGTTTTGGCGGGAAGGTCCCTGTGGGCGGAGGACGCCGAGGCTGTGGCAGGAGCCCGCAGGTTGAGTCCAGGTCGCTGCACCCCTCCGCTCCGCCCACCAGGGCTCGCTCTTGAGCTTCGACTCGGAGGCCGAAAAACCGGGCGGGCCGGGTGGCGACCCCACCCCTGTGAGCGGCGAGGTGGCGGCGAAGCTGAGGGCGCCGGAGCCCGGAAGGAACGCGCCGTCCAGGCCACGCCCACCTCTCCTGCCCCCTCCCTCCCGCCGCCGACGTCGGCGGGGCCCCGGTCGCCATGGTGACCAATCCGGCCCGGTCCCGCCCCCGCCCCCCGCCGTGGGATTCTGGGGGCTGCCACGGGGCCTGGCGCGGCCCTCCAGCCCGGCGTGGGCCGGCACCTGCTCGGCCGAACGGAGCCTGCCCAATGCCTGAAGATTCGCAGTCTGGGATTCGCAGTCGCCCCTCTGCAGCCAGCTGGGTGCGGGGAGCCGCCCGGGAGCGGCCCCAGAGCGCCCCAGGACGCAGTGGACCTGGTGGCCAGGCTGTGAGGCCTACGTGCAGCCCAAGCCATGGGTCTGAAAATGGACCCAGGGCAAAGTTGTTTTTAAAAACTGGGCTTCTTTTCATAACAGTGAGCAGCTGTATTGCAGAGACATTTTGTGGGGCCGAGTGAGGACGGGGAGTGGGGAATGCACAGTGCCGGGGACTCTGGCCGCGGCACCCCGGTGACTGGTGATGGGAAGCCCACGGGGTTACAACTGAGATGGGAAAGGCACAAAATGGTGCAAAAGCAAACTATTATTTAAAAAGCTAGGCTTATTTTTCAGTTACTTTTTTTTTTTTTAAAGATTTATTTATTTATTCATACAGAACTGGGGTACAGGCCAGAGGCTCAGGGGGGGCGAGAGGCTTCACCAGAGACAGAGTGGGAAACAGAACAGGCAGATCAACGAAGTACTCTGCTGAGGGGAGCAGCGGGCGGGTCAGGAGAGGTCTGCCTCGCCATGTGGTCACCTCCGGGGCAGGCAGGGATCGAACTTTAGATGCGGAAGCGGCTTTAGATTCTCAGTGCTGTGTTTTAACCCGCTGCACCACCAGGGAGGGCCTCATTTCATCATTTTTAACACTTATCTATGCATACAAGAACTGGGGTATAGGCCACAGGAGTGAGGGACTGAGAGGATTCACCCGAGACAGAGTGGGGAGTAGAACAGGAAGATCTACTGAAGTACATAGCTGAGGGGAGCAGCGGGTGAGACAGGAGAGGTCTGCTGCGCCATGTGGGTCAGCTCCCTGGCTGCAGATTGAGCTCTTGCCCGAGTCGATGGAGATAGCTTGATAGTTCTGAGTCTTTAGCCCCTTCTCCTCCAGGGAGGCCCTGTGTTTAGTGTAGTAACGGTCCTCTCTCTGTGCAGGACCTTTAGTGAGACTCGTCGGGTTGTTTATGTCCCCTTTGGTTTATCTTGCTTTCGGGAACGAGTCCACAAAGATATGACTGAGAGTGACGGCAAAGGCTGTTTCCTGTGTTTTCCATCTGCCACCTTCTTTTCTACTTCTATGAGTTCGCTTGTCCCACACATCACAGGGTGGAATCACACAGAGCCAGTCTTGATACAGGGCAGCAAGGGGCTAAACTGGCCAAAGACACTGCTCAAATAATTTACCGGTCACTATCTGAGCACACAATGGCTAGACTACTCAGGCTTAGAGAACAACAACAAAGAGTTTGATTTGACACACTGAGGAAAAACAAAGTTACTAAGGCTAAAAGTGGACTTTACTTCACCCAACGCCCTGTCCAAAGTTTTGCCGTCCTGGACAAAAGCAGCTCAAATGGCATCTTCCCGTCACTGAGGACTGGGAACTCTCCAGGACAAAGCCCATGTGTCTCCGAAGGCATCTTCCTGCCACTGAGGTCACGTGGCAGCCAGCACAGGCCAGATTCCCACTTACATGGACAGCAGAAGACCCAAGAGGAGACGCTCCGTGAGCTGTCGGGAAGCCCCAGCACAGCACGGGACAAGCGCCACTCAAAACAGGAGCAGGGAAAGAGCCTGACAGGAGTCCACACTCTCCATGTCCGCAGAGCCCTGCTCCAGGTCTGCGTCTGCTCCGCCAGGCCACAGCTCAGTAAGAAACCAGGCTCCCAGCTTCCCCTTCTGCTCCAGGCCACAACGCAGCAAAACTGCAAATAGTTTGAATCGCTCAGCTACTTGCAAAGCCTGTAAACTTTTCTACTCTGATGTTTGCTGTTCAAGGCCTCCACCTTGAGGCCCACAGCAGCCTTTTGAAAGGTCGGATGGTGAGGTCACCTCACACATAATCACAAAGACTGCCTGAATGTGAGCCCCTTTTGCAGTCCCTCCTATCACTAATCAGTCCCCCGCCCCAAAATGCCCTACTATTTAATGTTTTTCTTGGGGCTGCCTATTCTCACCAGCACCTCTCCAGGGGCCCCACCTGCAACAGTCCTTGGCCTCAGCCTCTGGTTACTCCCCTCTGTCTTACTTTACGGGCAGAATGTGCTCAAGTTTCACTCATGCCATGATAACAAATGACAAGATTTCATTCCTTTTTATTTTTTTTAAAGATTTAATTACTTATGCCTACAGAACTGGAATACAGGCCAGAGATTTGGTGGGTGAGAAGATTCACCAGAGACAGAGTGGGGAGCAGAAAAGGCAGATACACGAAGTACACTGCTGAGGGGAGCAGCGGACGGGTCAGGAGTGGTCTCCTGCACCATGTGGGTCAGATCCTGGGTGGGAAATCGAACTCAGCTGCAGTGGCTTTGGAGAGCCTCATAATGTGGTGCTTGAACCTGCTGTGCCACCAGGGAGAGCCCAGGTTTCAATTCTTTTTTTTTATTTTAAAGATTTATTTATTTATTCATATAGAACTGGGGTACAGGCCAGAGATACAGAGGGTAAGAGGATTCACCAGAGACAAAGCAGGGAGCAGAACAGGCAGATCGATGAAGTACACTGCTGAGGGGAGCAGTGGGCGGGTCAGGAGAGGTCTGCCTC